CTCTTGCTGTAACATTCATAGTGATAGGCTTGACGACGAGTGTTGTGGTAGGATCTTATGATTTTGTTGATGAAGACAAGTCTTCATCTTTTATTCCCAACATTCTTGCAGTCCAGAGTGGGAAAACATTGATCACCGACCCATTATCTACTAGAGTCATTGGGACATTCATCCTTTTATATATCATAATGAGGTTCAAGGCCATGTTATGTTTGTCACCTTCAGAATGTAAATCCTCCTTGTCAGAAAAGGTGATCAAGTTGATAAGACTAGGAAGATTACTAGTGAGAAAGTTAGTTAATTTATCAGAAGTGGAATATGAATCTATCCCTACTTTATCTAAAGCGTACATTACTGCGAGCCTATGCTTATGGGATGTGGCTGATAGCTTCCATATGTTCATCTCAACCTTAGTTTATTCAAGTTGTTTGACAACATCATTTTCTTCTATAAGTGGTATTGGGACTTGTTGAGGGGTGGGATAGGTTGATTTGTGATGGGAGGTTACATTCTTCCCAATCTTGTGAGAACGTCTATGGATGAATCTTCCTCATCCCAAATGTCATCGACAGGATATATTGTGGAGAGTGGGGTTTCTTCTATATCTTTAAGGTAGCCATCTTCGTCATCATCACTTTCCCAAACTCCATTAATGTTCATATCCTTTTCTTGGTTATCTTGAACAAGCCTTCCACTGTCGATGAATCCTTAGATGAAATCCTTTAATTTAAAACAATGTTCTATATTATATCCTCCATATTGATGGTATGGACAGTAGAATATGTCTGTCCTTTTCAGTGATTCAAATGGTCTTGGCTCGAGAGGTTTAATCTTTCCATTCTCGAAGAGAATTTTGAACATCTTTTTGTATGAGGTCCCAATAGGTGTAGACTTTGTCATTCCTTTTAGGAGGTGTAACTACATTGAAAGTGAATGGTTTTCTTTTAGTGGTGATAGTAGGCATCAACTCTTTAACGATACGCTTATTTTCAGCTAATTTTATTTGCTTGGGTATCGTGGAGTTGCTTCATTAACTCCCCTACCATATGCATGAGGATATATACTTATCTCTAGAGACAAGCTCCTCAGTTTAGGAAAGTCACTCATGGCGTTGAAGAAAGTTTCCTCCTCTTCCTGAATAGCATGAGTTTCTTCAATTGGTTTAATGAGGAGTGATGGGTCAACATGGTCTTCCTCATCAGAAATCACCAAGGAGTTTGAAAGTGGAGCATTATTGATACTTGGCTTCTTGCTAGCAGGAGGTAGTGGAAGTTTAGTACTATTAATCAAGCTTGAATGCCTTCTTTCAATTTCCAACAATTTTTAGTAGGATGGCCCCTACCTTGGTGATACTTACAATGTGCGTTGGGGTTCCAATTAGTCGTCCTTCTTTCGACTGGTGGATCGCCCATAGGTCCAATAGGGGTTATGAATCCTTTTGCATGAAGGCGATCGAATGCCATATCATAGCGAATGCCAATAGGTGTGAAGTTTCTCCTTAATGGCTTCTTTTGTCCTTGATTATTCATGCAAGGACCTTATTCAAGTCAAAGGTGCTAACATTATTTGAGTGGGTGGTTTTGGAAGAAAAAGGATTGTCATTTTTCTTTCCTTTCCAGCCACTGTTACTATTGTTTTAGCTTTTTGTTTTGCAAGGTTGTCTTCGATATCGATACCTATATTGTAGACGACCTTGAAAGTATTCAAGTCACTTTGGTATTTTAAGTGCTTTGAATACTTTTTTGGAGGTTCTTGATGAGCATCCTCACAGATTCCTTTTTAGTAGGGACCTCTGCCATTTTAGCGAAAATTTCCCTCCACTTGTTGAAGAAGGAAGTGAACCCCTTGTTTTCCTTCTGTTTCAGCATCTCAAGTTCTCTATGGTCAGCCTGATCTCGACTTATATGTTACACTTGTATCTATATATGAAAGTGTTTGTAATGGCTTCTCAAGAAAAGTATTCTCCTTGGCTAGAGATAAAAATCATTGTTGACAAACGGTTTCTAGTGATAGTGAAAAAAGCGAAGGAAAGATCTTCTTGTCAAATACCTTGATACTTATTATGGTCTCGAAGGCTCTCAAGTGAAAGTAGGGATTATCAGTTGGATTAAACCTAATTAGGGACATCATTGGCATTGAACTTCTGCGGAAAAAGTTCCTTGTCCACTAAGACCCCCTTTGTGAACTAATTCCAAGAAACTTGTAGTCGTTGGAAATTTTGTTAAGGCTTTCTTTCATGTGTTCAAGTTGAAGTTGCCTAGTAGGGTCATTGACTTGAAGAGCAAGAGTCTTCATAATCTCCATAAGATTGGCTATGTTTTGTCTCATCTTATCAACTTCTTCTTGAGTGGCCATGATCACAAACTTTCTTCTATGCTGGATTGGTTTATCGAAGAGTAGAACTTGAACAAGCGTGTTATCATTGAAAGGAAAATTAATGAGTAATTCAAGAGTGCTAAACGCAACCTGACTTTACTTAGCGCAACCTCTATTCCACTCATTTATTAGATGTAGGGAAAAAATAATCATTTATATTTTTTCCTCTCAAGTAATCTCCAATAACAAAAGTGCATTAATTTAACTTAAAATACACTGAATTTGCAATGGGTAATGATTTTTACATTAGCCTCTTCAAATTTGATAAGAATCATACGAATCTATTATGTGTAGAATCAATACAACCACTTTTCATCCTTAAAAAAAAAAAAAAACACTTTTTATATTTCGTTCAAATTGTATAAAATGATTGAGTCTATTTCGTGTGTCACCCAACTTCATCCGAGTTGTGTTCATATTCATTAGATCTCGGAATATTGTTCGCCAATTGATTATGTAAGTAATTCGAATAAACAAAGGTATAAATTTCTGGAAATTAGGTGTGGAAGAAGGTGGAAAGGAAAGCAGGCAAAAATGTCGTGGAAATGATTTTAGCTTAGAAGGGTATTTATGGTATTTAGGAGGGGTGTATAGTAGTAATTAACTAGAGGTTGCATTTAGCAATCATGTAAATATGAAAGATTGAAATAGTTTTTTTTAAAAAAAATAAAAAGAATAAATATAAATGAAAAATTAAAAAGATGATGTGACACTCTACATGTCTTTTTTTTTTGAACGGGATGAATAATATCATTAAATAATGGTCATACGGCATCTGCAATAATAAGGATCTGTAAACCACAAATTTAGAGAAAATATCATAACTTTTACAATCAAATCATAACTAATTTGCATATTTGGCATAGCTCATACTCCACCACTTCAAACTTGACGCGAACAATGATTTTCGATGTCTGTGCATCTTTCCAAGTTGAGACCTCCGCAATCTGCGCTGATGTTTTGATCGATCGTTTGATGACAAATCCCAGACCCATAGGAATCCAAATCACCTTCCCAATTATTATAAGAACCCAAAAAATAAAATTTCCATCCATAGACGAGAATCAAAATCCCATAAAATTGGGAAAAACCCAGAAAATTGGGACAAACTCTCACAGATGAAGAGAACAAAACAAAACAAATAACCCAGAACGTAAAATAAAACAAAAAACTTAGGGTTCGTTTGGCATTGCTGTGGTTTTTAGTTTTTTGGTTTTTTGTTGTATAAAAGTATATGATATATGTCACATAATGAATCAAAAATTATTTAAAGTTATTATAATCATAATAATTTTGAAAACTAACAACAAAAAAGTGGAAACACATTTTTCTTGTTTCCTGTTTTTGGTTTTTAGTTTTTAAAAAAACAGGAAACTAAAAACCAAAAATGATGCCAAACAAGCCCTTAAATTGAATAAAGAAAAAAAGGTCAGAAATACATGTCTATAGGGCCTATTCTGATTATCTAAATAATCTTCCTCCAGTGATTTATTTTTTCCTTGGGAAATTTTAATTTTACGCTGCACCCCCTTTTCTCTCCTGCATTGAAACATACTCAGAATTCTCCATTGAAGCGGCTTTTAAGCTTTCTCCCCAACATTGAAGCAGCTTATGAGGTAAGAGTATTTTTAAATAATTGAATATCAACTTCACAACCTAGGGTTTGGTTTCGCATATTGTTGATTTGATTGTCAGTATAGTCAATTTAGGGTTCTTCGCTTCTTCTAATGTTGATTATTGAACTATTGGCTTTAATTACTTAATTCATGAGCGATGGTATAGCTAGAATTTTGCTATGTGCATTTTTGTGTAAATATTGAAAAGAAATTTATGTGATTTTTCGAGCCTAATATGAAGTTTGAGTCAAATTGCATTAGTCCTTATAAGTTATAAACCTTTAATGATAGAAATAAACTATGAAAATATGGACCTTTCTCCCTGCCAGGGACGGGCTGCATAAGAGTGGTCAAATCATGCTTCTAACACGTAATTTCTCGGTTCTTTATTACTTGACCCGCTTTGACTTTTACACTATTCACCACTCCTCTTTTGACCGTCTTTTTTGAATAATTTTTTGGATTCGTCTCAATAACTACTATCATAATATATAATTTTTATAATTTTTTCTTATGCAGAATTTATCGTTAAAGTTTTGCATTGACAAGCGTGATAAAAACAACTGGTCAATTAAAAAAAACAGATGAAATATTTGGGTTACTGCTCTTGCATGATTGCTTATCATTAGTGAAAGCTGGATTAGTGGACATATGGTTGGTAATTGATTAGGTTTGTTTTTATTGTATCACTTTATGCATTTTGGATTTTAAATTGTAAAATTGTAATATTAAACAACTTCAGTGTTATAATTTTTTTTTTTTAATTTTTTTTTTTATAATTGTTTTTTTTTTTTATATTTTTTTTTTTTTACAGTGAGCACTAAAAAAAAAAAGATAAAAAACTAGAAAGACCAAAAAAAAAGAAAATCTCTACACCTAGCCTTGCGAGTTAACCAATGCGCAGGAAAGATTCAACTCCAGTGTTATAATTTTTTTGTTTAACAATAATTATCCCAACGTTGTGATTGTGACGTTCGTATTTCATCCCTCCAGTTTCAAAATCGTGGGTCCGCCATTGACTATGAGTTGTGAAATAAAACAACAACATGAGAATTGCCCATCTTTGATCGATGATAATGATAATGATAACAATAAATTATATGGGGGATCAAGAAGAAAAAGAGAAAATTTGTTGGTGAAACATGAGTTGCAATTGCCCGAACTGCCAAGTGATATTTGGGTTGAGATAATGGGGAAATTGCCAATTAAGTCTCTTTATGGTTTTAAATGTGTCTCCAAGGCATGGCACTCCCATGTTTCTCACGTTTTGACTACCCAAAAAGGAATAGACCTTCCTCCTTATGGTCTTTTTTTCACGATTTTGCATGACACATCTATTGATGATGATGATGATGATTTTCATGACCGAAATCGTACGTTTTACTTGGCTTTTTTGTCCCTTGTTGGTGACTACAAGTTAACTAAATGGTCCCTTACCGATTTTGAAACTGAAAGTGCTATCGTGACTATCGGTGACCACGAGAATACCCAATATGATCATGGTAGTGGTAGTGGTAGTGGGTGGTTGTTGGGGAACTTAACTTTAGAATTTGGCACCATGATGAGCGTGATCTCGAAAGTTGGAGATGGATGCTATTGGAATGTGCACAGGGGCTTATTCCTTGGCGTCCTTGACCCTCATACTTTTGTAGTATATAACCCTGCCACCAAAGAGTCCTTTTACCTCTCTAAACCTGCTTCTAAAGGGCTCTCCGCACGTATTCATCATCAATCTTTCGGATTGTCCTCTCTCAACGGAATGTAATTTTAGGGTTCTCCGGTTTTTTAGGGTTTGTTATGAGACAAAAGGGATGGTATTTGTTGAGGTTTATTCTTCTAACAAGCGTGAATGGTGTGTGTCCAAGTTCCGCCTCAAAAAGGCGGTCATTTTTGAAAAATGGGCCGTGTCTAGTGGCGTGTTTGTTAACAACACTTTATTTTTCTTGACGAACAAGAGGCATGCTGTGGGAGTGCAATTCCATTCAAGCGGGCAAGTAAGCAGGGTTTACTCTTTACGCCTGCCAAGGCGTATTAAAAGGGGCTTTTGTGAATCGAACTTGTGTGGATCTCAGGGATGTCTCTATATTTCCTACAATAAGTCTCCTAATCTATGGATTTGGAAACACACAGGAAGTTCAACACGCTCTGATGCTTGGATCCCACAACTTATATTCAAGAAATCGGGTATATCTTTATTCCCACCAAATGTTGACACTTTTATACGGCAATGTGTGGCTGATGATGTAGATACATTTCCAATAATCATGCATCCTGAGGCACCTGTTGTTTTCTTTTCTGTGCATCGGTTCATTTTTGCAATCCATCTATTGAATGATACAGTTGAGAAGATTGTTGAGCTGAATGAAGGAGAAGTGCCTTTGGTGGGAGCTCACTTCATGTATGCACCATGCTTCGCATCATTCAATTGTCTTAAGCCAGCAAATCAAGATCATTGCAAGTAATGTAGGAGATTCTATTTGCTTTAAACTTAATTGCCATTCACCCTTTCTTAAATTCGTTGCTGCTGAATAAATATATTTAAGCTTTCTGTTTTGCAATTACGTTGTGTAATTACAAATCAAAATTGTCAATGTAGTGATGTGCTTTGATTTATAAATTTTGATCTTATTGATTCGGTTTTCCATTCAATCTTTATTATAGGTTGCTTGTTGTTTGAGTGAAAGTAGGTTATGATTTGGATTAGATCATAGACACTACCCTTTTACGGTAGTGTGCGAAGTATTTAGTAAATAATCTTATGAACATAGTGTGATTTAGACAAACTTTGTGCAGTAGCCTAATCCCGCAGTCTGATAGGAGATTAGGAACAGGTTTGAGGCTGATATAGAGCAGACTCAAGTTCTACAGGCTTCATTCTGTCGTGAAATATCATTAAATCTGGAGATAAGCATTATATACTGCAAGACTGGTTATATTTTGCTTGATTAGATAGGTGTATGTAGCCAACCCCAATTATGGAACTAAGGCTTTGATTGATTGATTAGATAGGTGTATGTATGTCAGATGAGACTCTTCTTAAAATGTACAGAAAAATGTAGACGACTGCAAAATCAACTCAGAATTGAAATTGCAAAACCTGATAAATGGAGACAAAGCTTCCTCAAAGTCATCCATATTTACTGGCGCAGGCTCATTACTGGGATGTTTTCGAACCCTGGTTCTGATGCTGCTAAGAAGTGAAGGCTGAGTCTTTTCTCTGGTTACATGAGAGATATTGGCTCCTATGCCATATGGTAAGTGGGTTTTATCTTTTAAAGAAGCAAGTCCCTTCATACTATGTAAATACCTTATTTTCTACCTCATTGTATAATGTGTGGCTGTGTATGCTGCCTTCTATATTACCTTTTTAGTCGTTCTGAGATCAATCTGTTTGCGCAATTACTAGACAATACACAATTGTGTATGGTTCACTTCATAGTTCATACACAAAGCTAAAAAAAAATGTCTTTTTACTAATAAAAAAGGCCTAGAATGACTTTTTTCTTAATTATAGAAAGAACACTGTGGAACAACACTTTTTATAGAATGAACCTTGCATAATTAATGATCATTTTGTTTTGCGCTTTTAATTTTGAATAGAAAGTATATTTTGTTGTTGTTCATTGTTGACTTGTTGTGTACCATGAATATCTTACACACTTATGTAGGATCCTTTTTACCGTGTTTGAAGTTAGAAGTGATACAAACAAGGAAGAGGGGACTGCTGGTTTGCTGGAAGGTGGAGGCATGCAAACCTGTTGGTCGAAATGAATTTTTTTCATGCATCATATCTCAAGGTTTGAAGACTGGCTTTCTATTTGGTTGATGATTCATAGAATTTCCTAACTTATATTTACCAAAAAAAAAGAATTTCCTAATTTACACCATTAAGACTTCTAAGGTTGAGTTGCTTGCTAGAAATTATATAATTTACTGTCAGGCTAGTCTATCAGTATTCAGTAATTCTTAGAATTTATAGCTTGATCAGATAGATCTTAAGGACAGTGCTTGATCATTTGAACATATGGTGCATTAATGGCATAGTTGATGGTCTCAAGACTTAGAGTGGATAATTTAGAGATACTATCTGTAACTAAGATGTTTTTGGGTGCAGATTCTCTGGATACTGACCTTATGTCAGTCGGGTATGAAACTGATATTAGTTATACAATCGATAAGTATTATAAGTACTGTAAGCCTGCTCCAGGGTTGCATATATCCACCCTATTAAGATTGCTGTGGGTTGCATGTACAAATCTGTTTTCGTTTAGTTGTTGATTTTCTTAGAACATGTAAAAAGATGAATGAGATCCCTCAGATACTTGCTACTATATTTCTGGTTTTTGCAAGTTTTTTGTGGGTAAGTGCCAAGGTATTAGGGCATTTTGTGGGAAAGTACCTTACTAATTTTTTTTTGTGGGAAGTACCAGACTAATGTTTTGTTATATGGTACCAGATTAGTGAATTTCGACGAAAAAGTCCAGAATCATGCGTTGACTCATCTGATTTTGCCTTTGCTTTGGTGTATGTAAATTAATCGCCTTTATAATCTCTCACTTCCCTCTAAAGAAGCGAGCAAGTAACAAGTGTGCCCCACCGTGTCTCACGTTGTTATACCTTACGAATAGCCGCAGTTAATAGATATAAGTGAAAGGAATATTTAGCAACGAATATACACAAACTAGTATCAAATGCACGAGATTTAACAAAATGCATGTTTAAATATGTTATATAATACGTAAAAATGTCACGAGTGCGATGTTATAACTTACGAATAGCCGCAATTAATAGTCATACGTGATAGGAATGTTCAGTAACGAACGTATGCAAATGAGTATCAATGTACGATAATTAAACAAAATGCTTAAATATGTTATATACTGAGTAGTATGTAAAGTGGTCCAAAAATACACAGTAACGATACTAAATCATAAAAGGATCGATGATTACATCACCAAATAGCCAAGGATGAGTTTGTTGGATACTCTTTACCTGCTGCCCGTGTTTAACCATGCTTCAATTTTCTTCCCCAAATTGTAAATGATATCATAGGCAAACCAGTTACTATATATTTGAAGCCTTCTGAATTTTTGTCAAATTCTGCATGATATCTCATCATGCTCCAATTTTACGGTGGAACATGACATAATTAAGTCCACAAAAAAATGTGGGTCTATGAACTGAAGATCACAGTTCGAAGCATCCCATCTAGTGGAGCCATGTTAAAAGGAACTTATCGTCAATCAAACTGGGGAAAATTATTACGGTAGACTTGTATGATAAGTGATTCTTTTCAATCAATCAATCAAAGCCTTAATCCCATAAGTAGAGTCGGCTACATAATAAGTGATTCTTTTAAATAGGGTTATATATTGTAGGGAGAGGCTAAAGTTAACTGTTCAATCTCAACATATACATTCTTTAATCTGCAAGTTTGTCAGATTAAAATAATGGGCACCTTTTACCCTTAGTCTGCAAGTATACTATATTATTTTCTAAGCCTAAAACTGGCCTTTCTATTCTTTGCTATCTTTTACAGAGAAGTTATTATTCATTACCCAAAACCAAAAAAAAAAAAAAAAAAAAAAAAAAAAAAAAAAAAAAAAAAGGGAGACAATTATCACTGTAATGAGGTATCAATGTATCATACAACAATTAGCTAGGAGAATTACAACAGGTCAGCAGAGAAGTTTCTAACCATTAATTGGTTCTTGAGTTCTTCAGCCATCATGAAAACTGATAATGTCGACTTCATTTCACCATACTTGATCATCAAGATATGATTACTCCACACAGTAGAAATTTAGGCTCCATCGCGATCATACTGGCCTGCTGCCAGTTCAGTTTACAGTAGTAAACAGCCAAAAAACACAGTGATCTACATTGATCATTACCTCTGGCATCTGAACAACAGTGAGATATAACATTTTGATCAGCTGGTATCAAGAAGAGATGCCATTTCAAGATTATCAGTCGTCAGCATCTCAGTATCCCTTTTAGTCTTTGATATTTCTGAAGGGAGCACTGGCAAGTTCGGATCAGTTCTCGGCACCAGAAACAACAAAAAAATTGGTGTCAACCTTAAAAGATTACGAAGTAGAACTGCAAGCCAGAGGTTCTCAAATTCTGACCGTGTTACATGTAAATAATGTAAAACAAAACCTCCTGCCCATGTCGAGGTTAGCATTCCCACTTGGTCGATGGACATCAATAGTGCAAAGAACGTTCCTTCTATCCCAGAAGGGCAAAGCTTGGAACTAAGTACAAGCAAAGGCATCCACTTAAGACGTCCTATCATATGCGAAACCCCTTCATCAATTACAATGAAGAGGTAATCTGGAATGTAAAGATTCAGATTTAGACGAAGCACCAATATTAGATCCAGCATTCCTGAAGCACAATGCAGCAACTGCGTCCAGAAAAGTAAGTCATGGTAAGGGCGATTTTTCAACATATTTTGATAGAGAAGAACCCCACAAAGAGAGCCTAGTGCCCCTATGGAATATATGGATCCCACAATCTCCTGCATAAAGTAAACATGATGTTAGATATTTGAAAAGTGAGAGCAATATTCCACAGTCCACAATAGCATAATATATAATTCTAGCACTATAATATATAATTCTAGCACTCTGTCATTACATTATAGTATACTATAGGAATTGATTAAGACAAGTAACGAAACCAAATAAATATTCTTCTCAAGACTTAAGCTATATTGACAACTATACACTATGCTATTGTACCCTCATGAGTCATGACCAAGCATATCTAGTGTTCTCAATGCCCAAATCTCTTGTCATAAAATGGGATTAGCAATAGAAAATTGCAACGTTGATAAAAACAATTAGATTAATTATACCAAGTTATACTAACATATTCTTGGCAGAGAATTATAAAATTCAGGGACAATTATTGGATTTGTGTTAAGAAGGCCAGCTAAAAGGAAGAGGATGATATTATCTAGATTATAAAGATCTTTGCTTTCTTCTCTAGCCTACTGTAATCTTTAGACACACCTCTGTTTCAAGAGTTTGCTCAGGTACAGCAAAATCTGTTATTCCGTCAAAGATTTAAAAATCTTATCTTTGGAAAAATTAGTATTCTTCATTGGATGGATCGGTTTGCATATAATAATTATTGAATTGTCAGCAAACTTTTATCACAAGGACTCACAACTGAATAGAAAATTACTATCTTCATAGTGTCACATTTCCTATTAATCAACATCCTAAGTTCTGTATCACCAGTAAGCATGTTAAAGGGGAACTTAAATTGCAAGCAAATCAATCATTCGTCATAATACCCATTGAAAAAGCTTACAAGTTTCAGTATTGCTAAAGCTTACTCGTAAAAGACAGCCATGACAGGCTCCAATAATTTTCAGAAAATAATAAATATATATCTCACACTTTTAATATTAAACTGATTTTTGACAAATTAACCCATTAGTTTTCAATACTTGAGATTCTATAACAGTTCAAAATGTTTCATGATTAAAATCTAAGAGAGCTTTAGAATCCATAGCAACAAAATTCCAAAAGTAAAGCTGACATTTCCGTTCAAGCCTCAGAGAGAAAATATAGGCCTAATGAAAAAGTCTTAAGCAGTGTTTAAGGGGATACTTGGGCTATAAGGATATAGTAAGCAGCTACCATTCAATGAAAATAATCATCACTTGTGCCACGAATTATGCCACGGAATTCCAATTTCTTGAAACTGCCATGAGAAAAAGAGTTTCCACCACAAAACCAAACAGACCACAAAAATTTATGCAACAATTAAATTTTTTTTGGGGCAAACGATGCTGCGATGAATTATGTCTCGGGTAAACATTATTTTGACAAGCAAACAACTGTGGCACAGGTGTCACTTTGTAGTTGCTTAGAATTATTTTATGCATTTAAAAGGAATATTAACTACTTATAGGTACAATATAAGAACGCCACACTTCAACAACATAGACAAGCAGATATTGCTAAAATATAGCACACATATACACTGAGAAAGGCATTACCTTTGAGAATAATGGACCTCCCTTCCCATCTGTATACCAATAAAACAGTCCTTCATGGATGTTTATGTTAAGAGCAAGTGACGAAAACATATAAAGACATGGCTTCCAGACATGCTGGGACTTTAATGTGGTCCACATAGCTCTTACAGCATCACCAAACTTCTCATTAACCTGTTTAAATCAGTAGTCATGTATCAATTTGATCAATACAACAAAACTCTTATAAAGGAAGAGGTTATCTTCCAAGCTCAAGGAGAATGACCGTAGAGAATTACCCTACTGTAGGAGTGATTTCGCACAGGAGCGTCCTTAATTGTCAATCCAACCAAAACAACCAGTGCAGGTGGAAGTGTCAGCAGGCCAAACACACCCTATGAGTAAAAGAAAAATAGAAAATACCTGCTATTACAACCAAATTATGGAGAGCAATAATCTAATATTAGAAGTATGAAACTGTTAGGGATGAGAGAGATGGTATTGATTCATAGAATAAAAAGAGGAAAATGAATAAATAAGGTAATAAAAAGAAACATAGTAGTGCATACAGCTAACATGATATCGGGATATATAAAAACAAAAAAGTAAACAAACAAACACAAAGGAGCCAGCAAATGATATTTGTTTGGTGAAGGAAATTAGAATTAATTAACTTTCCTTTTTGACTTGAACAAGAATAGTATGAGAAAAATAGTAAACATTTGATGACTTCATAGCTCACACAATCAATGACCACTGACTTTCTTACACTTGAAAAGATTCACCTACCACACTCTTCTACTCCAGATCAATCCTGAGATTAAAATTTTCATAGAACTGCTAAATTCTCTAGGCCAATGACAGTTTCCAGCCATAAGTCCCAAACTACACGGTTATTTTCAGTGCATGTATAAGAATAAATTAAAAAGGCAATGTTATTAAATAGTTCACAGCTTTTTTTAATAAGAATGAAACAGAAACCTTTAACTTCTCTCATACATCTCAAATTAAGAAACTGCATTATGATCCATCAGACTTAACTTCCATTTAACTTATTTAACGCATTTTAAAAGAATTAAAAGAAGTTTAGTTACTGAAAAATGATTTGGACAATCTAAACTTCTTTGCAGTCCATGCAAATGACTGAACTTTTACAATAATTGTAAAATTGGCTTTGGCTGCCCATAAATGAGGGTAAAAAAGTGAAGGGTTTCAAGCCACTTACAAGCTCAGGTGAGGTTTGAATCCCAAAAAGTTACTATGCCCTAATCTCTTTTCCTATGTGAGACAATTCACAAATGCATACACAAATAAATATACATAAAACATGGGGTTCAAATACCCCCCCCCCTCCAAACAAAAATGTGTGAGAACATATGTTTTATCATCTCAGGGATACATACACAAGAGATACGAAAAAACCTTAAACAGACCACCCTTGGCTTTGGCACCTATAACATTCTTATAATTAGAAATGGGGTCTGGTCTCTTATTAATATGGTGCATAGTTCCATCCAAAACCGAGAAACCTCCTAAGCTAACAAAGTAGTCAAACACTCTACAGACATGTGTATACTGTACACGTATAATATGAGGTTTCAATAATGATCTTTCACCTATCTTAAGACACATCAGTAACAAATATAAGAAGAAACAAACCTTGGACCCAACTAGATGAACAAGAAATCCACTTATTATGAACCCTGCTAGAGCTCCGATTGAAGAGCTTAATCCAGACAAACTTTGCATGTCACTAGCAAGTGTAGGATGAGTGCTACTATTCTCAGTGATACAAGCATCTATTGTCACATCTGCTATAGCTACCCCAGCACTTCCAGCCATGAGAGACAGAACAGCAGGCACCAAATGCAGACCATCGACAATAGACAGGACAAGCATTGACGTAACTCCAAGAAACCCTGGAAGGTCAAAGATTAAATCAAGTATTAATTGATTTCACAGATGTTTGGCTACCAGGGGAATATGATAGCATGAATTGTCTGCTACCAGTGCAATATGATAACAAACTTAGTTGTCCTTTTGGTTGGAACTTGGAAGCATAAAATTGTAATTACTAAATAATTTGTATTGAGATTTGCTATTACATTTTAAACGCAATATTAGATTTGCTACCTTGGTTATTCTTAATATGATCTTATAAAATTAGTTGATGCTTTCTACCAGCTGCAAATGATTTTGTTAGCTAGTTTCTTCATTGTGAAAAGATATATGTGTTATATTGTGATAGATTTTAGGAAGTTGAGATATCATGGAATATTAGGGTTAGATATTTTTATTGTCTATACATAATGTAATGTGGCCAATGATGAATTGGAAAATACAATGAGAAAACACAGAGAAATATTTTCCCCAATATTTAACAGGTACTTACCTCTGAGACCCCCAAGAATGCATATACTCCTTTACTTCTTTATGTATATTTTCACGGTTAAAGACAAAGAATATATTAGCTTTTTTAGCACTTCACCCACCCACCCCAAACCCCTCTCTTTCACCATCTCTCGATTACACTTTACACTATTCATCTGTTTTCGTCAGAATTGACCACTGTGGATAATTGCACATCCAAGAAATCATTAAACTTGTTCTCTTGAGATCTTCACTACAGGAAATTGAACTTCCTATCAAAATAATGTTATTACTAGGTTTATGTGGGGTTAAGAAAGATACTCCTACATTTTGTAGTAAGTTGTTAATAGAGCTTACAATATTCTACTTCGTATTTCACAAGAGTTTGAACTTTGTACTTGCATTGTTTACCAAAAAGACCATGCAAAATTTATCCATTTTTATGTTTATGGAGCATCTAATGGATCATCGACAATAATCCTTGATTGCTGACAGCTCATACAACTCAAAAATCCCATTTCAGTAATAAAATCATACATAATAGCGCTCACAATATTCCTACTTCATATGTCACAAGAATTTGTACTTTGTACTTACAATGTTTTACCAAAAAGACCATGCAAAATTTTATCCATTTCTATGTTGATGGAGCAGCTAATGGATCATCGACAATAATCCTTGCTTGCTGACAACTCATACAACTCAAAAATCCCATTTCAGTAATCAAAATCATACATAAATTTTCTCAACAAATAACTTTAAACAAATTTATCATCTTGTTCATCAATAAAGTTGATTTGCTTCATTTAATTACTATACTGAGTTAACATATTCCAATTCAGCAATTGAATAAGCTAGTCTAATAATCTCCTCTTAATTTTTTCACAACAGCAGTTGTCATAACTAGACATTCAACACAGTCAAACATGATTGAGTTGAGATTACATTACTATGAACTTACAAGAATTGCACACCCACTGACCCACCAAATAAACAAAAATGATACTCCATGTATGCAACTTTACGACAATTAACAAAACACCAATAACACTTATCAAGTATCAACACATGATTTTGTCATACGTTCCTAAATTATAACACGAAGCACCATTTTGCGAAAATTAAAACCGAAAATGAAAAAATAAATAAATAAAATAAAAGAGGGGATCATACCAGCAAATATAAAGTATGGCCTTCTTCTATACCCAGAAAGAGGAACAACATCGGTAAGAAGACCCCACAAAGGCTTAACAACCCAAGGAAATCTAATAACCCCCATTGAAATCTGAGCTTCAGAGGGTTGAATCTTTTGTTCATCTTTCATATAATACTGCATAGTAACACGGCTTAAACCCATACTTAACCCTTGACTAATTCCATAAACTGCAATCACACCCATCACAAAACTCCAGTGTAATTCATCACATAACATGATCACCCAATTTATAGCTGACATGATTATGCCCCAAATTCCTCTTTCTTTGCTCTTATTTTTCTGGGTTTGTTCGTTTTCAAGTGGGTAACTCACCCCTTCTTCTCCTTCTTCCATAGGATTGAATTGAATTGATTGATCTTCGATTTTTGAGGGTGAAATTTGGGGAAGAAAGGTGATACTCAGTTGAGGAATTAGAGTTTTGTGCATTGGGTATGTAGTAATTTTGTCATTAGATGTTAAATTGAAGTGTAATGTTGATTGTTGCAGGCAAAAGGGAAGATGAATAATCTGAGTATGTAACGGGTTTGGTATAAAACACTACCTAAAGTACCTAATCCCACTACTCTCTCCAAATTATTTCTTCCGTTATTTAGTTGACAGTCTTGACTCTTGAAACAATCACGCCTTTCTTATATGAAATTTTATAAAATAACACCACAAAAATCTCACAATTCTGATTATAACACCACAAATTTTAAAACTTTTATTATAACATAAAAAAATAATAAAAAAAAAAAACCAAAAAACTGGTTTCACCATCACATAACTTTGTCATCCAAAAAAAACATTAAGTGAGTCTCATATGATACACGTGTCAATCACATATTGGATAAAAAGGGTGAACGGGTAGAACACCAAAAAAAACCATATTGGATAAAAAAAATTTTGAAAAAAAAAAGAAAAATTAAAAAATAAATCCTAAGATGCTCAACAGCCACCACCGCCGGTGGTTTTCCACTGCCGCCACCGAAACCTTGCGTTGAACCACCGTCGTCACCCATACCCAGCCCCAGAACCTCCGAAACCGTCACCAAACCATCATAACCCCAACCTAAACCAGCCGAAACCCCAGCCGTCGCCTAACCACCGTAACATCGCCGACCACAATATTTGTCGAACTCCTCTGCCCTACCCTTAACTCTGTCGCTGAACTACTGAAACCCCAACAAACCCACACCCATACCCAAACCCACAAACCGTCCTACTCACCCTCAACTAGACCCAACCCCGAAAACCAAAATTGGGCCTGGTTTGTGGGTGACGGCTGGTTTAGGTTGAGGTTAGAGTACGAGATTGGGTGGGTTGGTTTCGTCGGCCAACGGTGGTTTGCTGGGGTTGGGTAACGGAAGGTGGGGGCTGGGTTGGGGTGACGGCAGTAGAGCTGGCACTGGTGGTGGGAACCGACGTCGATGGTGGCTAGGTTTAGATTTAGTTTTTTTTTTTTTTACAATTTCTCTTTTTTTTTTTTAATTTTTCATATTTTTTATCCAATAAATAATTAATACGTGTACAAAGTGGGCCCACTAACGGTTTTTTTGCATGGCAAAGTTAAGTGGTGATGAAATCAAATTTTTTGGTTTATGGTGGTGTTATAATAAAAGTTTGGGTTTTTCTAAGCTTTGCCCCCCAAATTATCGAATTTCTAAGCTGTACCCAAACTTATTTAAAGTTATAAGTTGTGTCCTCCACCTCATAATATTTTATCAACAATACCCTTTGACCGCCATTTTCGTTAACAAAAGTTAAGTTATTTTATCAACAATGGTGTCGTGGCATTATTACTTTGGCACGTGTCCCGTTCTTATTGGTTTAACGCTTTAAAAAAAAATTTAAAATCAGAAAATAAAATTAAAAAAAAGTTATTGCTAGCGTCACAGTTTATTGTTAATAAAAATTAGTTAGGTTGAGGGCACATCTTAGACGTTTGAAAAAGCATGGGCACAGCTTAGAAACCGAGGAAGTTTAGGGGCATAACTTAAAAAAACCCTAAAAGTTTTAAAATTTGTGATGTTATCAAAATTGTGAAATTTTTGTGGTGTTATTTTCTAAAATTTCCTTTCTTTTATCACTTCCATCAATGCACAATTTTAATAGGAAATTTTGTCAGAAAAAATCATTTATAACAACTATTTTGCTAAGAAAAACCTTATAAAAAAATTTTGGTAAGGAGAAACCAGATTATAAATTTTTTTTTTTTTTACACAACCAAAGGTGAGAATCCAGCATTGACTGGGTGTTTTCCGATGTTGACACTACATGTGCCGGTCACATGTCTTAATTTTTACTAATTCCACCCAATTTCTTCTAATTCCCCCCACTAATTTCCCTCTTAATATTTCTTTTAATTCCCCCCCCCCCTTTTCTTCTTCTTCTTCTTCTTCTTCTTCTTCTTTTCTCTTAATCAAAATTTCAGAATAAAAAAGTTAACCTTCCTTTTAGCTTCTTCGAACACAACTAAGTCTGACAGTTCCTTCCTTGCTTTGTTCTTCCCCATTGCAGAGCATATTAAAAAATAAAATTATTCAGAATAAACTTACCCAAAAAAAGGAAACCCACGTGAATTAAATACAAAGCATTAAGTAAACTTACTGTTTAGGGTGGGTGGAAATTAATTTGTTTGATTGATTTCTAATTTAAGGGGTGACACCATGGCAGATTGCGTTACAAGGATTAATGATCAAGAGAGAGGATAGAGAAGAGAGAAGAAGGGAAATAAGATGAAAAAGGGAGAAAATCAAAAAGAGAGATTAAGAGTGAAATTAGTGGGGGCAATTAGAAGAAATTGGGTGATATTAGTAAAAAATTAAGAAAAATAAGACATGTGACCGGCACATGTAAGGTCAATGCTGGAAAACACTCAGTCAATGCCGAATTCTCACCTTTGGTTGTCTTTAACAAAAAGTATTTTGCAATCTGGTTTCTCCTTGCCAAAAATTTTTTATAAGTTTTTTCCTGACAAAATAGTTGTTATAAATGGTTTTTTCTGACAAAATTTTCATTTTAATAATCGGACTTTTCACCATTTTTCAATGATATTTTAACTTAATTCATCATATACCACAAAAAACTTTCTAATTCAACATGTACCATTGAGTTTAACGAGAATGTCACAAGTTCACAACATGCCATTTTCTATTAGTTCTGTTATTATCGTTAATTGTGCCATGTGGTAGCATTTGAGTGATTCATATTTAAATTAATAAATTAATTAAAAATATTTATAAAAAACCATAAAATAAAAAAAAATCCCACCACCCCAATCCAACCACTCAGCCATCCTCCCAACCGCCCCCAGCTTGCCTTCCACCCTGTCGTCGGCGCCCAAACTCCCCTTCCCTTGCGTCGGCGCCGCCCCCAACCCTAGCCACGACCCTTGAAAACCACCACTACTCCCGAAAATCCATGCACAACCCCCTACCACAACAATTGAAAACCACCCACAAACCTCTTAAACTAACCACCACTCCCGAAAATCTACTGCCAACCCCCGAAACCATTCAGCCACATCGAAACACACCCATGAGAAGAATCGGCCAGGTTGGAGGAGTGAAAAGTTAAAAAAAATCGAGTTTTTTTGTGGAGCTAGGGAGTGAGATTTCGTGGATTAGGGTTTGGCTGGTGGCACGACGGGGGAAGGGAGAGGGTCAAAGTAAGGATTAATGGTAGAGGGTGGGTCGACCAGCGATGGAGGGCCAGTATGGCCGGTTGTCGGGGTGGGGAAGGGGCTAGTGGTAAGTGAGAGGGTGGCTAGTAGGATAATTAGTGGTGGGTTGTGGAAATTGGGGAAAGGATAGGGGGAAAGGAGAGGGTTGGGGGCGGGGGTTGTCGCCGGTGGGGGAAGGGTGATGGTCGCTGACTGGGTGGGCGCCGATCAGGGCTAAGTTGGGGGGCAGTGGTGGTTTTTTTATTTATTTTTAAACTTTTTTTAATTCTTTATTTTAGGAATTAATTAAATAATATTAATAAGAGCCAATAAGTGACAGCCACATGGCACAATTAATCTAAATGACTAACGGAGTTAACGGGCGTTAGTCATTAAGGGAATCTTGTGACATTTATGTTAAACTTAGTGGTACATTGTAGTTAGAGAGTTTTTGGTGGTATATGGGGAATTAAGTTAAAACTGAATGGTATATGGTGAAAAATTCATTTAATAATTTAGTGTGTGTCACAGGTTTTGATTTGATTGATACTTTTTTTAATGATTAGTACGAGTATGTGACTCGAGATTTGTTCTACGAAATACTTTGAATAAAGGTTAATATTTCGATTACAACTAGATGAATTAGGCGGAAATTTTTATCAAGGATACAATAAATCAATAGACTCGGCCCCGCGTCGAAGAGGGTTGTATATCACAACGTTGTGAAGAATGGGATAAAGAATGTATGATTTGCGACAATTATCGTAGTTTTGCTGAAAGGGTTTTTTATTTGATTTAATTATCATGTATTTTCTTGATATAAATCTTTTTATAAATGTCGTATGACTTTTTATTTAAGTATCAATCTTTGTTAACAAAAAAAAATTACTTTTCCATATTTTTATAATTTTTTTCCAAAAAAAAAAACATAAAACACAAACCAGATAGAGGTCATAAACATTGGCCCGGCCTGAAAATAGGGCAGGTTTGGGCAAGCTTAAAAACGCATTTTTAGTTAAAAAGCCCGAACCTACCCCGAAAAAGCCCGAAAAGCCCGCTACTTTTTTACGAGTTTGAGCACTAGGAATTGTGTTAAGGCCTGGCCCGGCCCGAATTTTGATAACCTCTAAAATAAGAGAAAAGCGAGATAAATCACCTCTAAAATATTGTATGCATGACGAATGTTCGTAGGCCAGGAGGCTAAGGACAATTACATCATGTGACAAGATCAATGAATGCATTTAGGCTGTGAAGGTAAGCATGGTAGTTTGTTGACAAAGTATGTTGCTTAGGTCTGGAAGCTAAGCATCATATATAGTGTGTGAAAAAAAAAACAACTTGAAAGTTACTTAGGTCTTAAAGCTAAGTACGTATACAATGGTGATTGTTGAGTATTTCTTAGTTCAGGGAGATAAGCAAGTGTAACAACAAATCTTGATGAATGTACCTAGGTTAGGAAGCTAAGTACATTTGTGTTAATTTTATCGAATGATGATGATGATTTTGATTGATGTTGTCTTGAATTATGCGTGGTGTGGGAACAAGATTTCATGATATGGGGTTCGTTCCTAAGGGAATAAGGTATGACTATGTGCGAATAAAGTGTGTAAACGTGATACTAAGGCTTGCTGCAAAGGCTATGTTGTTGGATATAGATGTGAGAAGAGTCAAAGATGATGACTCTTTCGGATAGGTAAGCTAAGTGATGTGAGTTCAAGCCCCCAAGTCTAGCTCTTAATGAATAGGGATGAGTATTGAAGATGCTTTGACACGATCATGTATGAATGAATGTGAATGTAGCCGCACCTCGATGTATGGTTGCGTACGTATACGTTAGGAATCAGGTCGAACATAGCTCTAACTAAACTTTGCACAAGTGTATGTACACCTCAAAGTAGTCTTTTAAGGGTTGTAATGTGGTTAACCTGATGGTTTATAGAAGAAAAAGGGTAAAAGTCTCAAGACCAGAGAGAAGCCCCTCAAGTGAGTAAAATCAACTTAAAGCACCAAATAATATTTATGACAATCACTACTACTAATAGGGGAAGTCCAAAATTCGGCGTGAGCAATGTCAAAAACAAAAGAAGTATAAGTATTTGAATCATAAAAAGGAAGTCTGACATGTTTCCCTAATTAACAAAAATAGCATAAATTAGAGTCAAGCTCCTTATTATAATGAATTAAATTGTTTTTCCTAGGAAACTTTAAAGAGAGGACGATAGGGTGACCCAACCGGTCGTGCCATTGAGATGGAGCAACTCTTGTGAGAGATGTGGCAAGGCATGTGCTTGGTGAAGGTGTGGTAGCTGGATAAAGGTCCCCGATACTATTAAATTTTGTTATTACATCCCCGTGCGAAGGTCCTTCAGAGAAAAACCATTAGGGTCAAATTCAATAGAAACTATTGATATGTCTATTTTATATAGTAGTTTACCCCCGTCCCTTGGTCATAATTGGTATTATTTTTGGCTCTTTAGAGCCACTTTATTACTAATTTGTGTTTTCTAGTGTTTTTGTAGTTTTGGTTGAGTTTTGTAGGGAATTGCACTTTTGGAGCATTTTTCCGGGATTTTATGGAGCAACTACGAGTATTAGAGAAGCACGACCAGTTTTCGTAGCCCAGAGCCGGTTAGAGTCATAAAACCGGTGATTAAGGGCTCGACATAGGATATACCGAGGCATTTGGACCGAGTATTCAAGAACTGAAGAGGAAATCCAGATTGGGCCAAGTTACGAGCCCAATCGAAGTCCAAGATAGCCCAAGTGGCCTTGCCCGGCCAAGTATGGTTCTGCCCAAAGGCGCGCCCGGCCGGGCGGGCAGAAAAAGAAAAGAGTCCTTTGCCCGATCTCGTGCACGGCCGGGCGCGAGAGAAGACTATTGACGCAAAAAGGCGGGCCCGATCGGGTGGTGTGGCGCCCGACCGAGCGCATGTCTCTGATAAGGATTTTGGACGTTGTTTAGTTTGTCTAAGTTTAGGATTAACTTGCTTAATATAAATACGATTTCGTTACGCAAGTTTAGGATCTCTTTTTATCTCTTTTTGCCTCTTCTCTTATACTTTCTCTCTCTACTTAGTTTTATTTTCTCTCTACAACTCTATACTTTGTTCTTGATTCAACTCATTGTTTACGTTAATTTTGGTAACAATTTCTTCTCTATTAATTTCAGTAATTTTATTTCTTTTATTCATCATGTCTTCTTTAATTGCTTTGATTGGTTTAGATTTAATTATGTGTTAGTAGTTTTCTTTCTAGGGTTTATGGGGATCCATAAATAATATGAAGGGGTAATTTATTGTTGTTGATTGTCAATGCTTGATTAATTTCCTATTGATTGATTTAATGCTATGCAACTAGATTTGCGCAGATCTTTCATGCATGAGTTTAGCAATATTAATTCGAGATTCGAGAGATGAGAATTGATATTTAGGCTTAGTTTCGATAGGTAAGTTAATTTATAAATGGTTAAGTCGAGATTCGTGAGATGAGATTTAATACTGCACTACTACAAAAGAGGCCTTAGAGAACTGTTATAATAGGCTTTATAGATCGCCTTAGGGGCGTTCTTCTGCTAAGCTATGTATAAAGTATAGAGAACGGGTTGTTTAGGCGTTTTATATAATCACATATAGAGAACGGTTGTTACTCACAACCGTTCTCTTTTCCCTTCTTAAATTCGTACCCTAAGAAAGGAATAAAGAACGGTTTAGGCCACTTAACCGTTCTATATTGCATTACAATAGAAAATGGTTAAGTTAGATAACAGTTCTCTAATGGTTTTTTTTTTTTTAAAAAAAAAAATATCCAGCCATATGTATTTCGAATTACCCCTGTACATATTTTATATTGTACTATTCCTGTATTTTAATAATCTGTATTATTTTTGTATTTCATTTTAGACCTGTATTTGTTATATTCCTGTTTTTTATCTTGTAAATTTGTCCTGTAAGAAAATTTTCACATTTCCTATGTAAAAATAAATCCATGATCCTGTATACGTGCAATATAAATTTCTTTATAATAAAAATAACAAAAATATTTCCAGATACGATGAAAGCAATCAAAATATACTTCATATATATAATTTAAAACATCCAACCACAATTAAATTGAATCATCCATACAAAATTTGTTCTATACAAATAAATACTTGAGTTTAATATCAAAACACCTTTCTCGTTAATGTTGATTTTAAAAAAATAATGCTTAGATATACCAATACCATATTGATCTATAATTCACATAGGGATGACAACTTAGACAACAAATCTCTCTTTGGCTCGGATTTTGCTAACAATCTTCAAGGCCAACTCCATTGGTATCAAATGATCAGCACCTGCCAGTACAAAATCATTAAGCAAACTAGCTATCGAATCCAACGGGAACATTCACATTTTCTTAACAACCTCAACAACAAGATTATAAGAAAGGGAAACAAAAGTTTTCATACCTGCTTTTTTGTAATTTGGCCAAGCATTTTTCAAGTGTCCTGCTGCTGCCATCATTTGGGCTTGTTCCCCTCTGCGTTAGGATGTCAAAAAATGCAATGTATCGTAATGACAATGTGGGAGTGGATGGGTTACCTAGCGAACAATTTCAAGGAAAAGAGATGGTGGGATATTTTTTGGAGTCTCCTATGGGAGGTTTGGCTCAAGCGCAACGCAGCCACCTTTGAGCGACGTGAGATATTGATTGAAGATGTTGTCTGCAGAGCTGTTGGGATCGTGGGTGAGTATGAGAAGGCAAATGAGGTCCTGCCTTCAGAAATTACTCCTTGCGCCCTTTCTTCTGTAACTCATGACACTGTCATGCTTTGAGTTTTCTAAATATTTTGCTACTGTTTCATGTCAAAAAAAAAAAAAGAAATTTTGAGCAGATCTGATTGCTTCAATGTATGTTGTTTGGATGCTCTTGTCTATCACCAAATTCTTCGCACAAACTAGGTTCTGCAATGAATACAGGTACATTGAGTCCAAATTGGCTTCATTATCGAAAATACATAGCTAACAGTACAGTTAGTGCAAAAGCAAAACATCGTGTCAACGAACCTGAGACTCAGTCTCCTAAACATCCTTTGGAAATCGTTGTACAGAACCTGAATTTATAGACCGAACTGCATCAACACATTTTTAGATAAGAAGTTAAAATTAGTAGCACTTCTAGGTACTACATCCATTCTTCTAAATATTCCTACTTGAATTTTTCTTGAAAAAGATTAGCAAAATATCGAATAATCATGCCTAACAATACACATATTTGACTTATTAGCACAACAAGAAATAAGCTAGGATAGAGTTATAGCAACCCATACACTAAGATTATAATCTAACATGTTATATTTGCTATCTGAACTTGCCAACCCTCTGGATCATTCTCATCACAAGCCCAAAGTAACGGGTCGTTAGGGGATGTACAATTAACAAGGCTAAGTATACAAGATATACGCTTTATTTTCAGTAAGGCATCATCATGCCAGTGAGAGATGCTCTTGATTTTACGTCAAAGAGACGATTTTGTGGCTTTTCTCCATCGCTGCTCAAAGTTTTTAAGCACATCATATGCTGCTGGCCCTTCGATTACACTTTATCAACTCTATATCTAATGTTTTCTGACCTTAAATGTAGATGAATATTCAGCCAAAGAAGAGGCAAAATAGCAAGTCTATGTAGGCTCTAAATCTTATTCAAAAGCAGATGTAAACACAAAAACCCAAACATTTTGTTTTTAACTGAACCCGGCTCAGCCATATCCTCATCAATTCTACCAACAACATATATTACCACCACTAAACCAAACCAAAAAATCGTTTGTTTATCTCACTGTTTTAAGTCCTCTCTCTTTGTTCCTATTTTTTTTAAAATTTGATTAGGGTTCTAAATTGAACTTAGATAAGATTAATTTGGTTAAAATAATTTTGATTACAGTTAAAATTAAAGTAAATTCGACAAAATTAAGGGTAATTTGATTGAACTTATTGCAATAATTCGAAATTTATCCCTAAAACTAGAACTGTGAAGTTTTTTCAATCACCTAAACTTCGAATTGCAAATTACTTTAATATATGAAGACTACGAATTCACTTCTGTTTCCTTCATAATTTGAATGATTCATGCAATTAGATTGACAATTATCAGAATCCAATTACTCTTTTGAGAAGAAAATTTCAAACAAACAAAAAAAAAAAAATCGAGCCTACCTTAATTTACTGGTGCAGTGCTGAAAACGTGGAGCGACGGTGGAGCGGCACGGTAAGCGGCTGATGAAGGTATTGCTATGGAGGTTTAATGGAGGTTTCATTTTTTTTTTGGGCTCATGAATGAGTCAATGAGAAAGAGGTTTCACTTTAATTTGATGAAGTATTCTACTGAGAGTGAAACTGTCCCCTCTGAGTTGCCTTTGATGATTTGGGTAAATTATTACTCCGTATGTATATAATTTCCTCCTAAATTAAAAAAAAATTAAAAAAAATTAATTAATATAATACAAAAGGTTGTCATGAACACCGTTGTATATCATCTATAATAAATAATTATTATTTTTTAATTATTTGAGCAAAAAGAAATAGAGAACGGATTCTATCCTAACCGTTTCATATGTATTAACATACAGAACGTCTCTTATATAAATACAATCTATATTCTTCCGGAGGACGCCTACCTTTGATAACCGTTCTATATTTTGCGATCTCTAATCTAGTTTTTGGTGTAGTGCGGTAGATTACTTCTGTGATTGTAATTCGTAGCGAAAGCCCTTTATGATATGGTTAATTGTTGCATTGGTGATTGATTATTATGTTTTATCCTGGAATGTTATTTATTGGTAAACCTATGCCCTAGGTATTTTATTCATTGGTTTCTCTTTACCCCTAAATCTTCGTAATTTAGTTTCCCTTCGATAATAATAATTTGTTACTTAATAATTTAGATTGCCTTAATTAACGAGGAATAGAAAGACCAGTTTTCCTGTGGATTTGAACCTACTTCCCTATTTATTTTAGTTAGTGGTTTTAGGAATTACTTTTTATTAGGTGATACGACTTTAGCCTGTCAAAATTTGGCGTCGTTGCCGAGGAAACAATTTTATTTTTATTTCTGATTGTTTCCTATAGTCTAGATTATTTCCTCTTTTTTCAGAGAACATCAGTTCTTTGAGGCAAGTCTCATATTTGCTTTTTAGTTCTTTGTTTATGCCAAGTGTTCCAGATCAGGTTATATCCCATTCGATCCCGAGATTGATTGCTCTTTTCATAGACAAAAGAATCTTTACAAGCAAATCTTGGCGGGTTCTGGGGATAACGATAATCACAGAGACCCTCAAACTGATTCTAGTGATTCAGAAGTTCCTTCAGATTTAGAATCAAAGATGACAGCACCTAAGAAGCTCAGCGATTATTTGCAGCCGTCGCTGACCGATTTTCCACATCTCACTCCCATTCCGGCTTTTGATGGAGTGCAATTCGAGATTAAACCCCAATTTATCACGATGATAGAAAGGAAGCAATTCAGTGGAGCTAAGGGTGAAGACCCAAAATCTTCATATTGTAGAGTGTTGTCAATATTGTAATACCATCAGGCAAGCTGGGGTCACGTATGACTAAATCAAGGAGATTCTTTTTCCTTTTTCTTTATGTGGAAAAGCTAAATTATGGTATAATGGATTGAATAGAACTGCACTTGGTATAACTAACTAAGAGACTCTTTTTTTGAATTTCTATAATAAATATTACCCTGTAGAGAGGACAGCTTTGCTAAGAAGCGCAATTCAGAACTTTGCCCAAGAGCCAAATGAAACTTTATATGAGGCTTGGGAAAGATTCAAGGATCTGTAGAGAGAGTGTCCCCACCATAATTTAGCACAGTGGCAGTTGATCCAAGCCTTCTATAATGGGATTGGAAATTCATCTAGAACAATATTAGATTCTGCAGCTAGTGGGAGGTTTATGAACCTTAATGTTGATGATGCAGGTCAAGTTATCGAAGATATGGCAATCCATAATTCCCAATATGGGAATCCTAGAGGCTTTGCTAACAAAGGGAAACATCATGTTAACTTTGTATCCTTTTTGCAAGCTCAATTAACCTCTATTTGTTAGAAATTAGATAATCTTAGCACTGCAAATAAAGCTAATGTTTCTGCAATTAATAATAATTCTAATGAGGCTTTCTGTGAAAATAGTGGAATTGTAGGTGATTAGGAACTAGATTGCAGGAGTTCCATGGAGCAAGTTAATGCCTTTCAAGCTTATAGGCAGAATGACCTATACTCCAACACCTATAATCCTGGGTTTTGGAATCATCCATATCTTTCCTACCGGAGCACCAATGTTCAAAACCCGTCACCTCCACAATAATCACAGACGCCACAACAACCACAGCAGAAATATTACCATCCCAATGCTGGCCAGAAAAACCAACCACAACAACCTTCCTCATCTTCTGACCCTACTTTGATAGAAATTAGAGCGATGCTAGCTAGTATGCAAAAGCACATGGAGAGTAGAGATGCTCAAATTGATTCGATCATAGCCCATAATAAATTTGTAGACAATCAAATTGCGTAGATTTCCTCTACTCTACAATCCCGTCAATAGGAGCCCTACCATCGCAGCCAAGCAGGCCTACAGTTCAATCCTTTGCAATTACTCTGAGGAGTGGTTCACACTATAATGAGCCCCCTATGCCCAGAGAGGATGAACATATTTTAATGAAAAATGCTAATCTTGATTCTGTTAAACTAAACAATGTTGCTAATAGTCCTATAGGGCTCAAGAGTAGTACTAATATTTCTGATAATACATTGCAGGGTACAACTCCAGGGAAGGTAGCAGCTCCAAACAAGAGCAGTAATACTCCAAAGCCAATTATCAAACTTCCATTCCCCAATAGACATTTAAAAACAAATTTGGATAAGCAGTTTGGTAAGTTTTCGGAGATGGTGAAAGATTTGCATGTAACGGTCCCTTTTACCGAACTAATTACACAAATTCTTGTATATGCTAAATTCATGAAGTAAATATTGACTAGAAAAAGGTCTATTAGTAAGGTAGAGACTGTCGCTTTTACTACAGAATATAGTGTCGTACTACAAAATGAATCTCCAGCTAAACTGAAAGATCTGGGTAGTTTTTCTATCCCTTGTCATATTGGCAATATGATGATTGAAAATGCATTGTGTGATCTGGGTGCTAGCGTTAGTGTCATGCCGTTGTCTGTGTGTTCCAAGCTAAATATGGGTAAATTAAAAATTACTAATATTACTCTGCAAATGGCCAACCGTTCTTTTAAATAGCCCCTAGGTATTTTAGAGGATGTTCTTGTTAGAGTAGGTAAATTTATATACCAGTTGATTTTGTTGTTCTTGATATGGCTGAGGATTTGCAAACTCCAATTATTTTGAGTAGACCATTCCTTAAAACTGCAGGAGCAATTATAGATGTGAAATGTGGTAAATTGACACTATCAGTAGGGGATGATAAAATTGTTTTTCATTCGAATAATACCCCTAAAAGCCCCATGAAAGAGGAGAAGTGTTTTAGTATTGATGTGGTTGATAATTGTTCTAATAAGCCCCAAGCTCTTGTAAAATATCCATTGGAAGCGGTATCTTATGTTGCATCTTCTACAGGAGAAATAGACAAATGGCAAAAGGAAGTTGATGCAATAAAAAACCCTTTATTGTGTCGGTCTTGGCTTTGAAGATGAGAAGGTGGAGACAGGTAAGCAAGCTGCGGAAACTGAGCCTATAGTGAGAGTTCCACCGAATCGAGTTGCAATCACTCAATCTAATGTCAACTTGAGGCAACCAAAGGTCAAAAGGGGTTTCTTATGAGTAGTAGCGAAGAACCACCAGTTCACGCGAAGGAGGATTCACCCGATAAGCTCAATTGGCGTCCCACAGGGCATGTCAAGAAGCCACGTCGTGGTCTAAAAACTGCTCGACTGAGTGAGGAACCACCCGACTTCTCATCTTGTGGTAAGAGGGTCATGTGGAACCTAGATAAACCAGCATATTACGGGAGACAACCCGTACTATTTTTCATGATTTTTAGTCTAGATTTCTTTCTTTCTTTTGTAAAAGGAGAGAGGAGGGAGTTTTATGAGTTTATTGAGTTTTTGTATAGGTTTGAAGAAAAAGAGTTAGAAAATTTTGGAGAAAAGAGAAGTAGTGTAGACACCCAAATGTGCCTCCCTAAAACCAAACCCAGTGATGAATACCTTTCACGTCATTTGATTATCGAACAAAGTGAAAGTGTGGAAAGTCTAGTGATGAGGATGTTTCATTAAACTATTTCTCTTTCTGTTTTTAAAAATATTTCTTTTCTTACCTTATTTATCAAAAATAGCCGGTCAAATTTGGTTTGGTCCATGATAAGGGTCCAACAATAGTGTAGTTAGATTGGGCTTGAAAAGAGCTTTTCAATGATATATTATAAGCCCAATTTCGATGAATTATGAGGAAGTTATGGATTAAATTAAATTAGACCCAATGATTTTAAATTTGGCCCAATGATCAAGAGGAGGGCCTATTAATTATTATTTCCAAAGTGATTAGGATTGATTTTAATCTTCTAGGAATATCTAGAAGGTTCTTTTTAATTCTAATAAGATTAAGATTGATAATTATATTTTAAAAGATGTTTTATTTTGAATAAAATATATTAAATCTGATTATAAATCTGCTTGGACGTATAACCACCTATAACCGGTTTAAAAGGTGATTTCGTGTGTAAAAGCGTGTTATACTTTTGAACCAGTGCGAGATGACAGAGTCGTCGCCAGGCGTTGCAGCCGTCGTTTGGCGATGAGCTTGTCTTATGGCGCTGATTCCAGTCGTTGGCGACAAGAGGTATTTTATTCCGAATATGATTTTCTTTGATCCCGTGCTAATTTTCCTATATATAGGGGTCGTACTTCCTTGTTTTCAAATCATCTACAATCTACATTATCTATCATCTCTCTCTCTCTCAAGCTAAAATCTCTCTCTCTTTTCTTTTTTTAAACCTTCCCCCTCTCAAAATTCCTCACTCATTAGTCCTAGACACACCAGCCAAGTTTGAAGTTTTCTTCGCCCTAGACGTGAAAGGTTTGATATTTCTGAGGGTTTGGTCCCAAATCTCTATTTCAATTCTTTAATTTGACTAATTGTTTATTATTTTCCTTGAAGTTACTAACGTGTGTATTTTGTTATTAGAAAGAGGTACGAGGCATCGAAGTAAGTACTTTAATTGTTTTATTGATTCCTATTGCCATGTTAAGATGTTTTTATTGCTTCCTAGTATCATGTTTTGGGTAATAACTAAAATTTCTAATATCAAGTATGTTTATGATGCTTCCTATTTCTTTCCTAATATCATGTTAGTATCATGTTAGGGCTAATTAGTCTTTATTGTTTAGTGATATTCTA